TGCAGAGCTGCAGAATCAATTTGGTTAGGGCACTGCCCAGCTGAAGAGATAGGTTGAGGGTTTGGGCAGGCATCAGCAGAAGTAACTATAAAGACAGAGCTCTGTCAACATAGCTATATCTGATGATACGAGATCTCAGCCAGTGATTCAAAAATGTTACTTATGTACAGCTGGAAATTTATCATTTAATTCACTTCTAAACATTTTTAAAGTGTTTACTTACTTTCCACAAAGCAGCAATTAGAGCTACTAGCAAGAGGAGACCCACTAGGACACTTCCTATCACAACTCCAATTGGCACTTCTGCTTTCTCATCAGGATGTATTATTGTGACTGAAATCTGGGAAGGAAAAAAACCCAAATGGACTACAGTTAGTACAAAAGGTACAGTAGTCTCTTTCCAAAAGGCATTTGCTCAGAATGCAATTGTTCAGTTTTACAAAGTTATGTACTGATAAAATTAATAATATCACAAACCTGTGAACTTTAAATTCTAAATACATGCTCTTTATTCAGTTTAAAAATGATTTATACTAAATTCTGCACAAATTTTGAAAACATGCTGGTACAGAACAAATACACTTTTTTCATTCCCAACATTTTTCATCCCCCACTGATGTAAATATCAAGTAAGAGCCTCAAAAACTTGGGTGGAATCTAAGCAAGGCTGATTCTGCAAAGATTCTTTGTTATACTGCCTTGGACTCAGATATCCTGGGATGAATTTTTCCCTGTTCTTATTTGTGGAAATGAAGGCAGAAATGGACAAGTGCAAAATTCTGCAGGAGTTTCTCTACTGCCCGTTTGTTTCCCAGGATTGCTGGATCCTGAACCGACCACTGAATAATGAGTTTAAAGAACTATGGTGCTTTTTATGGAGTCAATCTGATGATAAATGCAGATGTTCTTGTTGGCTTCTAAAATCATTTAGAGTTTTCAAAATCTCTAGGCATTCAAAATGAGTTTCAAAACCTGGAATAACTTTATTTTAAATGAAAAACATGTAAAAAGCTACAATTAAATGCAATTTAATAGTCTGATGCAATTTAATTTCAGAACACTGGCAACTGCACCTTGACAGAACTTGGATATTTAAAATTTGATTGCTGGAAATGTTTTTTATTATCATCATTGTCTGGGTTTGGGTGTGGATCTATCATAGATTTCACTGTGGCTATTTCCCACATATGTTGTAACAAAACGAAGTAATGATTTTCACAGATGAAACTTCAACACTACACTTCTCAAATGGCTGTCTACGGGAAAAACTTTATTTTGACTAAAATGATTTTTTTATCATTTCCTTGAACATATAAATAAGTAAGATCACATGAGTTTGGGTATATTTTTAAAATCATTCACACTTTCATACTGTTTGCAAAAACAATCGCGTTCTGTTGTTTTTGTACAGTGGTGGCTTTGAATGGCTGAACTCAGAGAAGCAGCTCTTGGAGTCATGGAATCTCATGGGTGGATGGGACTATGTCCTCTAATGCAGAATTACAGTAGGCAGCTTGTCAAAATGCCTATTCAAAGCAAATCAGTGGGTCCTAGAGCAAATGAAACCTGAACTATCCCTGGAAGCCAAGATCATAGAAACATAGCGTTGGAAGAGACCACAAGGGCCATCCAGTCCAACCCCCCTGCCATGCAGGAACTCAAAATCAAAGCATCCCTGGCAGATGGCCATCTAGCCTCTGTTTAAAGATCCCCAAAGAAGGAAACTCCACTACTCTCCGAGGGAGTGTGTTCCACTGTCGAACTGCCCTTACTGTCAGGAAGTTCCTCCTAATGTTGAGGTGGAATCTCTTTTCCTGTAGCTTGCATCCGTTGTTCCAAGTCCTATTCTCTGGAGCAGCAGAAAACAAGCTAGTGCCCTCCTCAATACGACATCCCTTCAAATATTTGAGGAGGGCTAAAGATGATTAAACTGAGACTGTTGTACTTTGGATATATCATGATAAGGCATTACTTACTAGAAAAGACAATGATGCTAGGCAACGTAAAAGGCAGCAGGAAAGCCACATTATAGATTGTTGTTCTTAACTGCCTTTGCTTCGATCTCGACCCATGGCGACCCTGCTGAGATATCTCCAAGACTCTTTGTCCTCTAATGCTCTGCCCAACTCTTGCGAACTCATACTTTTGATCTCTTTAATAGAATCCATCCATCGAGCATACAGCCTTCCTCTCTTTCTACTTCCCTCCACCTTTCCTAGCATTATTGTTTTTTCCAATGATCCATGTCTTCCTAAACCAGGATTCAGGGACACAAGCCTCAACACAATGGGAGATGTTGGAGAAAAAGGACATCTCGATATGGGAGTGGTCTTCCCTAGGGACAGATTTTCAATAGAGCTGGCTATGCAAAACAATGGGGAGAATGTTTCAGTTGCTTTCATTGGTGGTTTGTTTTAAGTTGGTGAATTTGGACAGGTTTAGAAATTAACCAAACTGTTTTCTAATTTTTTGAGGGGGAAGAGTGTCTAAAATCATTTTTCAGCCAATCTTATGTGAACTATAGGAAGTTTGCCTGTTTTTACTTTGTATCAAATAAGGAGGGAGGAGAATAATTGCACAGTGACTTAACACCTGTAAGGTAGTTGTAATAATAGTTGTAAAAAATGGCTATGTCCACTAGAGGGCAAGATCTCACACCACATTATCGGATTTTTTTGCTGTGTGCCTTCATCCCCGAAGTTAACCTATCAAGGGGTTTTCTTGGCAGACTTTGTTCAGAGGGGGTTTGCTCTTGCCCTCCTCTGAGCTGAGAGAGTGTGACTTGTCCCAGGTCACCCAATGGGTAATTCAACAAACTACTACATCACGCTGGCTCTCATCAACAGATTTAGTATGCAATGGGACCTTGCAGCATCTTTGAGACTGAGTGAAAGAAGTTGTAGCACAGGCTTTGATAGATACTACTTCATCTACTTCCTCAGATGCAAGTGTATGCTATAACATCTATTGCTCAGTTAGTGTCAACAATGCTACAAGATCCCTTTGCATACTGATAATCCAGTCTCTGAATTCTATTATCAGATTTAGACAGTTATAATCTTAAATATCTTTAGTAGGGGGAGAATTTAATTGCACCTCTAAAGAAAGATGCAAACTTGGATCTTATATCCTAGGATAGCTGTATCTATTCTTATTGCTGCATTGATCTTGGTGAAGCGTCTGTCACCAGAAGAGTAGGGATTTACTCCAATTGTTCCTTCCCCTTGTTGCCCAATGGACCCTTCTATTCTGACAGATTGGGGGACCCTTTGCATGGGAAGTGGTGCAGAGAGGTTCAGGAGGAAAGGTGAATTAGTGAAAATTGCTTCGTTCCTCTTTCTATTCCAGTAGAAACCTCCAGTGAAGCAAAGAGCCTCCTTCCATGAATGGAAAGCACCACTTGGAAAAGTTATTCCCTGTACTACTATCCCCACAGCTAGTATGCTTTGGGGATGCTAGGAATTGTACTATAAAAGCAACCTTTCTGAACTTTAGTGGAAGGATACTATCATAGAAAAAGTCTCATCCCTAGGGTCGCCATGGGTCGAGATCGACTCGAGGGCAATTGACAACAAAACAATGTGAAGTCGTAGGCTTTCATGGCCAGCATCCCTAGGTTTTTGTGGGTTTTTCTAGAACATGGCCACACAGCCCGAAAAACCCACAAAAACCTAACAACAAAACAGTTTTGTGGTAAGCCATATGCTTTTCGTTAGCATAAAAACAGCATAACAAGACTGGAAATATAAAAATAGGTACACTCACTGGTAAACTGTTTTCTCCAGTCACAAACAGATCTGAGTTATGGGCATGAATTTCTGCAACTGCAGATAGCTGAATCTTCTGGAATTTTGACTGCAATAGAAAAATTTAGCATACTACAATTAAAAATTGTATGATTTTCAAACTATATAAAATTATTTAGAGTTTTTAGTCCATTTTTTTTAAAAAAAACACCATACAGAGTGACCAACCGAATAGCTTGCTTAATAATTTTTCAGATCTTAAGAGACCATTGTGCTATTTATTCCATCTTTGGCTACTAGATGGAATAAAATGAGGGATGACGTTTACTCAGTTCATTTTTGTCTAAACATGGATAAAATTACATTGTTTAGATTAGGGGTGGGAAACTGTGGCCCTCCATATGTTAGACTGCAATTCTCAACGTTCCTCACAATTGATTATGCTGCATGGGGCTGATGGGATTTGCACCATTTGGAGATGGTACAATTCCAACCCATGATTTAGAAGATTCTTTTACAATCTATGTCATGTCTTCTGAAGTGGCTTCAGATCTACAAAGTTATGTGGGCATGCTTAGTCTCATAAATATATAAAGTACAAAATATCTAGGGTATGGTAAGTTATTAAAACACAGATGTTACTTACAGCTGCAAATGTCCCATTCCAAATTCTGGCAGAAACATTAACGTAATATTCACCCTTCAGCATATCTTTTAACTTGCACATAATTGTATCACATTTGACATTCTTGCAGTTCTTTCATATAAGGGGAAAATAGAATATAGCATTGTTGTTAAATATTATTACTTTCAAATGTGGCAGAAGAGCAATTAATATCTTTCATACATTTTAAGCATTCACTCTTTTTCAGTGAGTTTTTTTAACAGTTACACATAGATCTACATCATCACAGAAGGCTCTCTCCCAGTAGGAAATGTACTTAGGCTTGTGTGTCTATGTTGCTGTCCAAATCCAATTCTAGCCCCATATAAAAATAATCCCAGAATCCCAGATTAGCTCATCTATTCAATCCTGGTAGACCCTTGTTATGTGTCCTGTAGAAAGATAAGGACATTCTGTATAGGAGACATCCATTTGTGGAACTCTGTTGTTAAAGAGTTCAAAGGTGACTCCATCGTTATTAGCCTTCTATAAAAATTCTTTAAAACTATACAACACCAAACTTTCAGTGATTAATCCCATATTGATTTTATTTATTTTATCTAATAAATGTGTATCATGCCTTTCCCCTGGTCAGTTTGGTATAGTGGTTTGAATGCTGGACTAGGATTTCTGGAGACTTGGGTTCAAATCCCCAGTGGAAACTCACTTGGTGTCCCTGGGCAAGTCATACTCTTTCAGCCTCAAAAGAAGGCAATGGCAAAACTTTTCTGAATAAATCTTGCCAAGAAACCCCCCATGATAGGGTCTGAGGCCTCAAGGTGACCATACACTGGAAATTACTTGAAGACACACAGTAACTTCATAACTTTTTCCTTGAACAGGACCCAAGGCAGGTCCCATATTTTATTGCAACATATATCTTTTTATCTGTTGTGTTTTGTGTGGAATTTCTGCATTTTATTTTACTGTTTTCTATAATGAATGAATTTACTAAGCATTAAATGACTGATTGATTGAATGAATGAATGCACTGATCACTTCTCTCTTTGCCATGTAGTACATAATACATTCAGGCTTTCAAGATTAGCTATGCTTTTGCATCTGTCCTTCTGTTTTATTAACTGTTACAAACAAAAATTAATTTTGAAATTTAATAATACTGAGTATACTATCCAAAAAAGGGCTGTGTGACTTTATTTTCTCTGCTATTTGCAGGAGATTTGTTTTCTGCTTCCCACATTAGGGTCCTTCTTGTTTATTTATAAAACAGTGAAATATTGATATGAAGAAATGGGAAACAAAATGGCATTAAATTCACGTTGCAGTTTTGTGTAAGCATACAGCAAGAGACCTTGATTGTCACTGAGTACATTATAAAATAGGAAGCCACAAAACATATGAGAAACATTTGTGTACACATATGACAAAACAAATATAATGGCATTAATGGCTGGAATCTTGTTGGTGGTGTACGCGTAAGTAAATTCACCAACATAAATAGTGGGACACTTTTGTTCACTGTTGAACACCTGCATTCTGGACATTCTGCAAAAATGAAGTTGTGCTAATAAATGCTAGCTGTACATTATGCATGGGTGTGCATGTTTATTTGGTTACGTGCATAGTTGCACACTGGATGCCATGACCCAATGGTGCATCACTACTATTCAACACAAGGGCTGCACAGCACAATTAATGTATAGCTCCATATTGTTGGAGCTATATATTAATCTGATTTATGGAAACCCTAAGTCATCTGATTTATGGAAACCCTAAGGCAGGCAAACTCGGCCCTCTTAGGGATTTTGGACTTCAGTTCCCAGAAGCCTCAGCCATGTTGGCCAATAGTCTGGGATTCTGAGAGCTGAAGTCCCTCGGCTCTTAAAGGGGACAGTTTGCCTGCCCCTGCAAGGGGAAACCTATCAGAGGCTTTTCTTGGCAAGATTTCTTTAGAGAGGTTTGCCAATGCCATCCTTTGAGACTGAATGAGTGTGACTTGTCCAAGGTCACCCAGGTATTTCCATGGCTGAATGGGGATTTGAATCCAGATCTCCAGAGTCTTTGACCAGCACTTCAACCAGTACACCATGATGACTCCTTAATTCCATATATAGAGATTACTACTGTGCAATGTGGATGGAGGGTCTCAACTGCATGTAAATAAAACCAATATAATATTTCAATGAACAAACCAAACTAAAAGCTTATAATCACATTATTTACCTTCATTTAATAGAGTAAGGCAGCAAGGTGAAAGCCAACAGACACATGTTTAACTCACCAAATACCACAGAAACCCCCCTCAAGATCGGGATCCGAAACATTTTTTACACTATGCACAACTGTAAAAGAGGCATTTTTCCTCTTCTATGTTTAAAGTGACAAGACATTTGAACTATATTGGCCTATGTTATCAATATTAACCAACAGCAGTCATAAAATCAACTCACCAGTTCTTTCAAAGCTTTGAAGTTTTCCTTTCTAAATGATACTGCATAACCTTGTTGTCCTATATTATATGGATTTATCTGTGCTTCACACCTGATATCACCACCCTGGAAAGAATATGCAAATTTATACATGGAATACAGGGCCTGCATGGGTTGCCACATCATTATTATTAGTCCTTCTACTATGTTTTTGTATTCATGCTATCTTCACTATTGCGTTGTAAACCTTAATTAAAATAGACCATTGCTTTACCTGACCGGTATGCACTGCAGTCACATACATCAATGGATTGTTCCCTTCAGTCTGCTTTGGAATATGAATTTTAAAAGATGCCATATTGACTGGAATACTTCCTCTAGTGACCTGAAAAAAATAATGTGGATAAACAGTGGGAAAATAATGGCAGCTGATAATGACCTGTGGTGCACTTGTCCTCTGTTAGCGCTGGATGTAAAGAAGTATATACATTTAGCTGAAGCTGCAGCTAAGAAATGTATGTGTTTATGAATGGAACTTGTGCTTGTTTCAAATCTGTGTAAGTACAAGCACAGCACAGTAGATAATAAAAACTCTACAACACAGCCTGTATTCTTAACTGTTTTAGCATTCCTTTCAAATAATGCAAGGCTCTCATCCTCAGCATTAATGTGCACCTCTAAGGATGTATGGACAATATTTTACTTAAGGCTTGGAAATCAAAGAAAGAATTGGTTAAAGCTCCCACATATTTCAGACCTGTGAACATAATGCACATACATATATGCATGCAGAACAATGCCATTTTTGTTGCCCTTGACAAACAGCTGGTAGCTATTTGATATTGACATATTAAAAAATGTATTACTCAGTGTGAGGGACAAACTGGATTTGTACTACTGTAATATGAACTGATTTTTTCATTTTGCATCAGTGTGTCTAAAGAACCAAATCTGTTTAGTACTGGAAGGACTCCAGTCTATACTTCAGAAAGAATCACCACATTTTGCATGTGAAACCATAAAACAATTAACCAATTTATTATAGCCGGAGTTTCCATGGGTTATAATAGGAAAACTTGTTAGTCATTATTATATCACAGGACGCTGTGTTCATTTTGCAGCAACAGATTGACATGGCTACTGTACTGTAAATTTTATTTCCAAATAATTCAAAGAGGTTATTAATTGATAGGAAGGCTTCCAAAATAATATAGAGGACACATAGACTAAGAGCTAGGTATGAATTTTAAGTGATAAAGTAGCATAAAAATGATAGAGGCCACAGAAGATCACTAGTTAACTTTAACTTTTAAGTGCAGCACATTACAGTCAATGAACCATATGACCCAACTAAGCCATAACAATAGACACAGAGCAAGGAAGTCCATTTAGAACAGATGAGGCAGCTCTGACCTTGAAGGTATGCTTCTTTCACTGCCCCATATGCCACCACATACATGGGTCAGTTATTCAGGGAACCATGGGAGATTGTATACATTGCATAGCCCAATTTAATTCAGTCCTGACAGTGTTTAGCTCAACATGCTTTAGTAGGAAACATAAAACATTATACTTTTAAAGTATTGAGCACACTGAGAACAGGTTTACTGACCTTAACAGAAAAATTGAATGCAGGTCCAATTTCATCAAAATTGTTCACCACAGAAGGAACATAACGATCAGAATATACTTCATAGAAATCCATACTAGTAAACCTGAACAAGAAAAAAAAAGATATTATGAACCTTTTCTTTAAGTAGGCAATTTCATTTTCTCTACTAACTTGGGGTGACTGAAATAAGAACCGTATTTGGGGAAAGGGCTAGCAATATGTAGGTTTACTTTTAAAAACAATAATGTCTTGTATATGGTGTCTGTATATACTTTTAAAAACAATAATGTCTTGTATATGGTGTCTGCATATTCAAGTTGATGCTCTGAGATGATCTGAATGAATGCATCATAATAAATGTGCAGTTTCTGACATTCACAAAACTCATCTGGGGTTTTCAACATTTCTATGATAATAAGAGACTACACAAGAAATATCAGCAAATGCCAGACATTAGGTGAGCTATTAGCATAATAAGTGTGTACATGTGTTCACTTCTCAATATGATATAAGCATTATAGAATCAAAAAAATAAGCATTATAGAATCAATATTAAAACTTCAGTAAAAACACAAATATGTGAATTATTCCTGAGATTTCTACTTCACTAATGAGTCATGCTTTTATGTATGTTATGTAATTTCAAGTCATCTATTGCCTTATGGAGACCTGATGAATTTCATAGGGTTTTCTTAGGCAAGAAATACTCAAGGCACCATCCTGTCCCCGATGCTATTCAGTACATATATATGAAGCTGTTGGGAGAGATCAAATGGTCTCCCGGATATTTGAAGTTGATGACCAGTCTGGGTACATGATTGGTATTGGGTTTTATTATATGAATTGGGGGCTATTGTTATGATTTTACATATTGTATTTTATATATTGTATTTTTATATTGTTTTATATTTTCCTGTAATCCCACCTCTCCCTATGGATCGAGGCGGGATTACAGGAAAATATAAAACAATACAATGTATTATTATTATTATTGTTATTGTTGTTGTTTTGTTATTATTATTATTATTATTATTATTATTATTATTATTATTATTATTATTATTATCATTATTATTATTATTATTATTATTATTATCATCATCCAGAGACATGGGGCTGGGTGTTATCAGTAAGCTGATGATACCCAGATATATATTTCTCCATGTCTCGGTCTTCAGCTTTGACTTCAGATAGCGTCTCACCTCTCAATTATTGTCTTAAAGCAGTAATGGACTGGATGAGGAAAAACAGACTGAGACTGAATCCAGATAAAATGGAGATACTTACAGTAGCGGCTCTGAAACCAGGTATTGGGATGCAATCTTTAGTCTTGGATGGGGTCACACTCTCCTCAAAGGACTGTGTTCACAGTCCTGGATCCGCCAATTCAGATAATAAATCAGGTGAATGCGACAGTCAGGTGTGCCTG